CATTATCAGTGATTAGACAACAAAATCGAGGATCTTATCGAAAACTGATGGAAATGAATCAACCATTGATATTTTATTCTTTTTCCTACATATTCCACACATATTTCACACCTGTTTGTTTGTCATTCGTATACAAAAATCTGTTTTACGTACTCACATTACGAAAATTTGGAGAAATAAAATTGAAAAATTTGCCTGCGCAAGCGCTAAATGGTGTCAGCTTAGAACGAAACACGATCATAAGATCGTGGAACGAAATGTGTAGGTAGGAATTTACATATGTGATGCTTTACAACTTTATTTATATTCATTAATTTATTTGATTCACAAGAATTGAAAGGTCTATGTCTGATGGAAGAGTGTGAAAGGAGTAACACAGTAGATCAATGAACAATTACAAATTCTCAGAAATCAGATTGTAGTATATTAGACAGATCGTTTGATCCGTATGCCATACCTGAAATTTTCATGTTGAGGATGGAAGAGGCTTGTTGAGAGCGAATTTTATTCGAGAAAAAGAAACTAGAGATCGTCGTTTCTATATAATTTTCGTTTGCACAGTTATTAACTTTTGTTTATGGAAAAAATGCCTTTTCTTCGTCACAGAACGTTGATCAAGCGTAGAGCAAGATTGGTACATAACGATCCACTATTTGATTTTAAAACTATCAGTATTAACGGTACTATTTGATCCATTGTACACTATGTATTAGAAAAACTTATTTAAGGAAACTTATATTACGTTCTTATTAGACGCAACGTGAGATGATTCTGAACGATTCTCGCGTACCGATCACAGATTTTATTCACGTTCGATCGATGGGTGTAGGTAGAATGCAACTGTGTTGTACATTTCTGTGGCTTTCACGTCAGTGCGAAGATTCCAAGCGAAAGGTGCAGTATTTATTGCACCTTGCTAGATGAAAACTCTTCGTAACGCCTATAAAAGGCAATGCTATAAGCTGTATTGTTTCTTTTTCTATTCTCCTGTGTATGTTAACATAACATTCGTTATTACAAAAGACATGTGTTTTTACGTTTTGATTGATGAGCGATCTATTCGCCGAGATTATTCGAAATATCCTTTTTTTCATAGCATATAAAAATAGTTTAATTGTTTATAATTATCATTCAATAACATTATTATTTAGATTATGCATTCATCAAATATAAATATGTTTAACTGAAAAAATGACTCGTTCAATAAACATCAGTTTCTAACAATTTTTAATAAAAGCAGATGTCTACAGTACATGCTATACAAAAGTGTTCCGGCAATTCGAACTATTGTGTGCTATTGTGCATAAACCTAAATTTGTTACTCTTACATTTTTCGAATACTAAACAGATTGTAATGAATCAGTTGTAATTATATATTAAATTAACAATGACGCATGCGTTGAAAATGATATCTTATAAATTACGCGCCAAAACTGAAATACTTACGTTTGGATTCGTTTGTGTCGTTTGAATGGATTTCAGTAAACAAATTGTTAGTGAATTCTCTTAATTGAGAAATACTTTCGTATTAATTAAGTACAGAAATATTCTTCCCCTACCATTTGTGTATGGAGGGCTTGAAATGTCTCAACACGGTGCTGCATTGCAATCGTATAATCAAGAGCTCGTAAAATGTAAATAATCCTTGTATAACCTAATCTTATAATTATTTATTTAGCATGTATATAATAGCCAGTAACATTAATTATTATTTAATATAAACACAAATCTACGTACAAAATGTTTTTAGCTGGTGCACGTAGGTTATAAGTTTATATATATGGAACCTTTTTAACTTGAATGTTCTACGTATCCCTTATAGATCTAATTTCTTTTCAGGTTTAGAAGAAATGAAAATGAGACGCACCGAATTACAAGCACAGATTGAGAGTCAAGAAGAAGAGAAAAATTATTTGCAAAGGGAAATCGAGAAATTATCTCATAAATTAACACGTGTAAATGATAGTTTAACTAAAAGAATAGCTGTTAGGAATGAATATGACAGGACTATTACTGATACAGAAACAGCATATGTAAAAGTAGACTTACTATTTTCTTTTACTTTAAATGAGATTTTGGAGAATAATTTGTACATATGTGAAATTCTTTGCAATTATAGATTTTGGAGAGTTCACAACTTTTATTGAATATGATCAAGAGAGAAGCTACCAATTTGGACCAAACATTAGTTAAAACCAATATGGATAAACAATGATATTAGTGAGAAA